CTGTCCTTCTGTGGCTATGTATTGTAAGAACTGTAATAAATGTGTTCTTTCTTATCTGGGAGAACTAAAAATAAAACATCCTTAGTTTGCCATTACTCTAAAAATGATATATACTTATTTGATCAAGGTTCGCAGCTTAGCGGGGAGTCCCACTCAGTCATTTTCAGAAAGGTGTTTTACTGATGGCTTATCCTGTACTTCCGAAAGCTTTTTCTCGGAGTCAAGCCTATCGAATGTAATGGATAATTTTACATCATGTTCGTCATATTTTGAACCAGATGACTTAAGCCAGACGAGAGCATCTTGTGCTGGGACTGAAATCCAAACTGATATGCTTGCTCCACTTTTACCATCCAGTAATGAGTCAAGACCATTTGGAAAGAATGTACTGCGGGATGTTTTTATCTGGGGAGAAGGAGCAGAAGGGGGGTGCTTGGGGGTTGGGGAAGTGAAGTTGGATGCTTTGTCACCCAAAATTCTCGAGTCCACTGTGATGCTTGATGTACAAGCAATATCCATTGGTAGGAGTCATGCTTCCATAGTCACCAAACAGGGTGAAGTTTTTTGCTGGGGTGAAGGAAAGAATGGACGGCTTGGGCATAAACATGATATGGACACTGCACGACCAAAACTGGTTGACTCTCTTAACGGGGTTCGGGTAAAATCTGTCTCTTGTGGGGAATACCAAACATGTGCCCTGACCTTTTCTGGTGAACTATATACATGGGGTGACAACTCTTTTTGTGCTGAGTTAGTAGGTGAGGAAAAGAAGAGAAGCCATTGGCTACCAAACAGAGTATGTGGTTCTCTGGATGGTGTAAAAATCTCTCATGTTGCTTGTGCGGAATGGCACACCGCAATTGTTTCAACATCTGGGCAATTGTTTACTTATGGAGATGGAACTTTTGGGGTTCTTGGTCATGGAAATCTCCAAAGTGTTGCTCAGCCCAAAGAAGTTGAGTCACTTAGAGGTTTGTGGGTCAAATGTGTTGCATGTGGGCCATGGCATACAGCTGCGGTAGTGGAAGTCATTGTTGATCGTCTTAAATTCAACAATCCAGGTGGAAAGCTATTTACATGGGGTGACGGAGATAAAGGAAGGCTTGGTCATCCTGGTGAGGAGACAAAACTCTTACCGACCTGTGTGGCAAAACTTGTTGAGCATGATTTCATTCAAGTTTCCTGTGCAAGCACCCTAACCATTGCACTATCTAGCACAGGAAAAGTTTATATGATGGGAAGTGCAGTGCATGGGCAACTAGGCAATCCAGAAGCCAAAGATAAATCATTAGTGCTTGTGCAAGGAAAACTTAGAGAGGAGTTTATTACAGAGATATCCTCGGGATCATATCATGTTGCTGTGCTAACATCAAGGGGAAGTGTTTACACATGGGGGAAAGGAGCAAATGGACAGTTAGGATTAGGTGATACAAAAGATAGAAGTTGGCCAACTTTAGTTGAATCACTGAGAGACAGGCAGGTGGAACATATTGCTTGTGGGTCAAGTACTACAGCAGCAATATGTTTGCACAAGTCTGCATCTAGTACTGATCAATCATCTTGCAAAGGATGTAACATGTCTTTTGGAATTACGAGGAAGAAGCAAAACTGTTACAATTGTGGCCTTCTCTTCTGCCGCGCATGCTGCAGCAAGAAAACCCCAAATGCCTCTCTGGCCCCTGACAAGACTAAAGCTTTTCGGGTATGTGATCCATGTTTTTACCAACTTCAGAGGATTGCTCAGTCAAGCAGGTCATCAAAGCTTGAAAACCATAGTCCAAGACCCTTACCGATTACCCTAAAGGCAGTTACTTGCGAGAAAGTAGAGCGAGACGAGGCAAATACTACATCAAGTCGAATGATGGCAACAAAAAAATATCTAACTGAGAACAATCAATGTTTTGACAGGAGGTCTGCCAACAGTCTAGGGGAAAGTAGGCAGTTCTCTGATCCTGTTACGTCCTTGCTGGATACTTTTCCAAGATGGGGCCAAGTTCCTTGTCCTAAAGTCTTTAGAAGAGACTATGGACAGATGAGAACCCAAAATGCTCATGTGAGGAATTCGCTGGCTTCAGCCTCTCCAACTTATTTCGTAGAACCAAAATTTGTCCCCTCTGCTGGTCTAAATATGGAGGAAGACTTGAAAGAATCAGACAAGAACCTACTCGAAGAAGTTTGCAAGCTAAGAACTCAGGTAATCTAATATCCAGTGTTCTTACATTGTTATTCAATTGCTTATACTTGGCTGAGAGGCTGAGACCATTAAATTTTGATGCACTCTGTTTATAAATGCTGCTTTGCTTGTGTACTTATGTGAAGTAATTCAGCATGAAGCTTATCATTTAACTGGTAAAAAAATCTGCAGAGGTGAATAGCACAACCAATATGTATATTTCACATAGTTTGCGAGATTCACGTTTAACAGATGTTCTTACCCTGCCAATTATCTCAACTTACATTACTGACTTCAATTGTATAGATGGATGGACATTGAGAAGGCATTTTTCTAGTATAAAATTTTTCTGTATATATGCCTTTCACATAGCATAACATGAACATCAGCATTCTACTATAAGAACTTTAGATAAGCAGAAGATTGCTTCTCTTCTCATGTAGTGTTCAATTGGTCATAATTTCTAATTATGGTGCCTCAAGAGTCAAGATTCTGACTGCTTTGCATATATACTGTAGGTTGAAAGTCTTGAAAGATTATGTGAAACAAGAAAGGAGAAAATTCAAGAGAGTCAACAAAAAGTTGAAGAAGCCTGGTCAGTGGCTAAAGAGGAAGCTTCTAAGAGTAAAGCAGCAAAAGAAGTTATAAAAGCTTTGACATCAAGGGTAACTATTCTGTGAGTTAATTATTTGCTGTCTCCTTCTATAAAACAATTTGATCTATAATATGTATCAATGTATTACCCCGTGGCACAAATTTTTTAAAGAAACTATTTTATGAAAATGTCAGTAATTCATCGGTGGGATGCCTCTTTTTTTTTTGCTGAAACTTGTTATGCTAATTGCAGCTTCAGGCAATGTCAGAAAGCTTTTTTGCTGAAGCAGAAGCTAATGTTCAAGCTATTGCAAATGTACTACAGACGACATCAACATTTTCAGATAGCCAAAATCATATAGGTGGACACCGAATTGTTGTGCCTCTTTCAAATGCACAACTAGAGGAGAGAAATGTTGATAGCCTATGTGGTTCTCCAATTGTATTCTCTAGTACTTTAAGATCATTCTATAACAAAGAAAACAACGTGGACTCCCGATCAGCAGAAGAGTCTTGTAAAGAAGCTGATCATGGCCAAGCTGGGCTCAGAACGTCAAAAGTTGAATGGGTGGAACAATATCAGCTCGGTGTTTTCATCACATTGACAGTGCTGCCAAGTGGAAAGAAGGGACTCAAGCGAGTCAGGTTCAGGTATATTTCCTTTCATAAGTTGTATGATACAGAAAATTTTCCACCTTTGTTAATATGTTACCAAATGGCTTTTTGGTTGAATTTTGCAGTAGGAAAAAGTTTACTGAAAAGGAAGCAAAGAAGTGGTGGGAGGAAAATCAGGTTTCTGTGTACAAAAAGTATGATGTTGAAGGATATGAAAATGTGAACCAAGTTTTGCTGAAGAAGTAGTCTCCACTTTCCTTTTTCTTCACAATGTAAATTGAACATCATTACAATAGTGATTAATTCATGTTACAGAAAGGATTATTTAATGAGCTTATTATGTGAGGGGAAAGTGCAATGTTGTATTGCCAATGGAATATGGAAGGACTATCATACATAATTACATATAAGCTTGTTATTAGTATTTGATAAGTCAAAGTTCTTTTTCTTAAATTATGAAAAAAAATTAAATGTTTTCAAAAATGTTTTAATTTAAATTCTTGTGACTTAGATTTTTTTTTTTTTTTTTTTAATTTTATTATTTCTAAATATATAAAGTTTGTTCCAATAGTTTAAAAAATTGATGGTCAATATAAGAAAAATAAAAAAATTCCGACGCTCGTGGAGCAACTTGGTCATTTTATTTTTGGAATTTATTGTGTGATGAAGTATCATAATAAAATGCATTTTTCTTGTCATATTTTTATATGAAATACTTGATAAAATGACGAATAATATCATATTGTTTTTATATACTTAAGCTACTTTATCCATAAACTTAAAGTTTTGAGTTGAATGCTAAAGTTTTTCCACGTGATATCAGAATTGTTATAAAATGATAACAAAAAAAGAAATATAGACAAAGTAAGTAACAAGAGGAAGTTATAAATATTTTTAAAAAAATATGTTTTTCAAGTGTATTATACACCACATCTCATGCTTATATTTATATTTTGTTATATATGAGTGATTACCAAATTGTCTTAAACATGATATTAGTTAAAGAGATCACGAAAAAAATTATAAAGGTGTGAAAGATTAGGGAGATTTTACGGAAGGTTTTTATTTATCTATTTTCTATTGCTTTGATTTTTAATTTCTTAGTTCATTTTATCGAAACACACTTTCTCAATTTATTTAATTGAGCCTCTAATTAATTCTCTTTGGGCAAGTCCGGCCAGACCCTTAGCATGGAGCATACTCTCTGTATTTAGTGTTATTAACGACTTGTTATTGTATTGGAGATCATAGAATGAAGGAAAAATGTATAAAATTAGTGTAATACTTTATACTTCTCCAATTCATTTTATTTATCATATTTTTCTTCTGCATAGACTATAAGAAAGTACTATTAACTAAAAGAATTAATATTTGTCCAAATTATCTTTTATTTTATTAACCTCAATTTAACACCATTAACTTTTTCATCATATTACTTTTTCTCCATTATTCGGTAAGAATAGAAATTAATTAGTACGTATCTTAATTTTTCAAAATAACAATTGTTTTTATTTGGCTTTTTTAGTATCGGTAAAATTACAGAATGCCCTTTCACTTGTCATTTAAACCCGGCTGTCGTCCGGCGCCTCCGCAATGGCATAAAACCCTTAGCCGTAGAATGACCTTAAAGCTCTTCAAGTATGCTCTTCCTCAATCACTTCCCATTCGTTTTCTTGGTAATCAATTCAAAATTTCTTCAAGATTCATGTGCGCCGACAATAAACTTGATAAATTGGTAGACCCACTATTGAAATTCCCAGAAGATGAATATACTCCACAAGAAGAAAATAAGTTAAAAGAATCATCTTTTTCAGTTCAAGGATTGGGTTTTTTGCAAGATTCAATCTTGGGTTCAGTTAGCTCCAAAACTGACACTGGTAAGTTTCCAAATGATGTTTTCTTGGTGATAAATGCTATTAGGAACGGCCATGATGGGTTTGGAGAGAGAACTGAGAAAGCTCTTAGGTTGTTTAGGGAGAAACTCAACCCTGGTTTAGTGGTTGATGTGTTGAGAAATATACATAACCCTGAATTAGGTGTTAAGTTTTTTAAATGGGCTGGTAGACAAATTGGGTATGTGCATAATGCATCTGTTTATGATGCTTTGTTGGATTTAATAGGATGTGTTGGTGTACCAGAACATTTTTTTAATGATATAGGAAAAGACGATAAGGAAGTGCTTGGAAAGTTGCTTAATGTGTTGATAAGAAAGTGTTGCAGGAATGGGTTGTGGAATACAGCACTGGAGGAGCTAGGGAGGCTCAAGGATTCTGGTTACAAGCCCTCCGCTGTGACTTATAATGCATTGGTTCAGGTGTTTCTGCAAGTAGATAGATTGGAGACTGCATCTTTAATATACAAGGAGATGTCAGAGTTGAATTTTAAGATGGATAAGCATACAATAAATAGCTTTACGCGATCATTGTGCAAAGTGGGTAAATGGAGAGATGCCCTTGATTTAATTGACAAGGAAGAGTTTGTGCCTGATACAGTGATATATACTAATATGATTTCAGGATTATGTGAAGGTTCCTTCTTTGAAGAAGCAATGAATTTTCTCAACCTAATGCGCACTATTTCGTGTATTCCTAATACTGTAACATATCAAGTTTTGCTTTGTGCACTCTTAAACAGGAGAAAACTTGGTCGCGTCAAGAGGGTTCTGAATCTTATGTTTTCTGAAGGTTGTTATCCAGGTCAGAAAATATTTAATTCTCTTGTACATGCATATTGCAGATCAGGAGATTACTGGTATGCCTACAAATTGCTAAAAAAAATGGATGGCTGTGGCTGCCAGCCAGGATACGTCGTTTACAACATATTGATTGGTGGTATTTGTGGCAACGAGGAGTTACCAAGCAAGGATGTGCTAGAGTTGGCTGAAAATGTATATAGTGAAATGCTGACTGCAAGACTAGTACTGAATAAAGTCAATGTGGTCAATTTTGCTCGATGCCTCTGTGCGTTTGGAAAATATGAGGATGCTTTTAGTGTTATTAAGGAAATGATGAGCAAAGGGTTTGTACCTGATGTCAGTACATACTCGAAAGTGATTGGTTTTCTTTGTAATGCCTCCAAAGTGGACAAGGCATTCCTGTTGTTCCAAGAAATGAAGCGGAATGGAATTGTTCCAGATGTTTATACTTACACAATTTTGATTGATAGCTTTTGTAAATCTGGCCTTATTCAACAGGCTCGTAATTGGTTGAATGAAATGATTCAAAAGGGCTGTACTCCTAATGTAGTGACTTACACAGCTATTATCCATGCTTACCTCAAGCAACGGAAAATTTTAGATGCAAATGAGCTCTTTGAATCAATGTTAATGCAAGGATGCATCCCAAATGTTGTCACTTTCACTGCTTTGATTGATGGATACTGTAAAGCTGGACATTTAGAGAAGGCTTGCCAGATCTTTGCCAGAATGAAGGGGAGTTTAGATACCCCTGAAGTAGATTTATACTTCAAGGTTGATCTTGATGGTAATAAGGAACCAAATGTTGTTACATTTGGAGCTATGGTTGATGGATTGTGCAAAGCACACAAGGTGAAGGAAGCTCACAATCTTTTGGATGTCATGTTAGCGGAAGGATGTGAGCCAAATCATATTGTTTATGATGCATTGATTGATGGGTTTTGCAAGGTTGGTAAACTAGATGATGCACAGGAGATATTTGCTAAAATGTCAGAGTGTGGATATAGTCCAAGCATATACACCTACAGCTCTCTAATTGATAGGCTATTTAAGGATAAACGTTTGGATCTTGCTGTAAAAGTCTTGTCTAAAATGCTTGAGAGTTCTTGCCCCCCAAATGTTGTTATTTACACAGAGATGGTAGATGGCCTTTGTAAAGTTGGTAAAATAGATGAAGCTTATAAACTTATGTTGATGATGGAAGAAAAGGGTTGTCATCCAAATGTTGTAACCTATACTGCAATGATTGATGGATTTGGCAAAACTGGAAAAGTGAATAAATGTCTTGAACTCATTGAGAGTATGGGTAATAAGGGTTGTGCGCCAAATTACATAACCTATTCAGTTGCAATAAAGCATTGTTGTGCTGAAGGACTTCTGGATGAGGCTCTCCAACTCCTAGAGGAAATGAAACAAATAAGTTGGCCAAAACACATGGCCAGCCATCTTAAGGTTATTGAAGGCTTCAGACGGGAGTACTTAGTCAGTCTGGGTATATTAGAAGACATGAGCAACATCAATTTTCTTCCGGTTATTCCAGTTTATAGGCTTCTAATTGATAGCTATCAAAAAGCTGGAAGACTTGAATTTGCCGTTGAGCTACTTAAAGAGATTTCATCATCTTCACCATTTCTGCATCTTGATAAGAAAATGTACTCTTCTTTGATCGAGTGCCTTTCTGTTTCAAACAAAATTGATCTGGCATTTGAATTATATGTGGACATGACAAAGAAAGGTGCAGTTCCAGAGCTGACAGACTTTGTTAACCTCATCAAGGGTTTAATAAGTATGAATAAATGGGAGACTGCACTTGAACTCTCTGAGAGCTTGTATTACATGTTACATGCATCGAAATCAACCAATATTCAGCTCCTTTAGAGGTCGAGATATGATGCATTGAGACTATCTCATCCTGAGGCACTACCTGCTGTGCACCTGATATACATTCTTGGAGCTGCGCTGGTTGTCAGGCTGCAGTTTGACCTTGTTATTACCAAGTACCTGGTCCGGCAGCTGAATGAGCCAGGATTTTCTGATCGAGCCGTTGAACAGGTTTTTCTTTCTTCAAATTTTGAACTGTTTTTTCTTCTTTTCTTGCTTTCAATGTTCTGTCTAGTAAATTATTCTTTTGTCCCTGGACTAGATTCTTGATATTTGCTATATGGGTGAAGGACAATTTTTTTTAAAACTGTTAAATGTGTATTCCTCAGCATTGAGGACATACTGGATACCATCAAAAAGTGTTAGATTTTTAAAAAAACAAATAGAAAAGAAGATACGTACAGAGATCTTAATAAATCTACAAAATGATCTATATCCTCTTAACCTACTTCTTTACACCAAAAGTAGAAAGATATTATACAATTCCATTTAACTTTCTGAATGGAATTGGATCTATCTTTAAAACACTTCCCACTTCTCTCTCTCCAAACTGTCCACCAGATGCATTGTGGTATGATCCACCACTTCTTTTGACAATTCTGTGATCAAGGCATTCAGAGCTCCTATATTGTTCCATGAGGAAGCAGTAATATGTTTGTGACATTGTTGTATTTGTTTTGCAGTATTTGTTCCTCCTAAAGTATACAAATTCTGAGCGAAAGCTATATATCAGGGCCTTGAGTTGATTGCCTTTATTGAGACCTTTTCACAATTTTATAGCATAATATAGGTCTAGAGGGCTGATGATACACATCACAGCATAACAGAAAATACTTGCAGAGAGTCCTGGTGAAAAATTTGATGAAAATATGTTTATGTTCTTGTTGCTTTGAAAGATAAATAGAAAACTTGATGATCTCATTAGAACTTTTTCTTTGACATTTTCCCTCCCTTCATATTTGGTTAAATTTTAAACCTTTAGTTTCCTTAGAAGGATTCAATCTCAAAAAAAAAAAAAAGTTTCCTCAGAAGGATTATATCTCTAATTTGATCATTCACCAACACCATTAGATCTTCTTATAGCTTAAGTTAGCTCACTAATATTATTTTCCTTGATGAATGTCTCATATAACCGACCCCAATTTGTTCGGGACTTAGGCACAGTTGTTTTTGTTATTGTCTCATGAGTCTTCTATGATCAGCATATGATCGAATTGCAGATATAACCTTTTTTTTGTTAGATAATCTCTTGGAAATTGTTGAACAAGAAACTATGTTTTTTGCTGATACTTTATCTACTAACGAATGAAGGGGTGATCTCAGCAAAAAACTTAGTTTCTCGTTTCTACTGTAGAACGAGAAACTATGTCTTTCCTGGGTCAACCAGTAGAAATTTTTATTCTCATTTCTACTGTAGAACGAGAGTCCTGTTCTTGTGATTAGTTTAAGTAAGAGCTTAACCAAATCATACCTTCTGCTGAATCTCTCATTACTTTGATCCCGATTGTGAAGCATCGGTGATCTTTTCCAACTGCAGAACTAAGAAGACAGTAAACCCTTGTACATTAGAATTTAACTTAGACCTCTATAAATTCTTCTTTTTTAACATAAACTATAATATTCAAATTGTTTTGACAATGAGTTAATCCGAGACAGGCAAAGCTCCTCTATGCTAGAAGTGTTATTATTTGTATGTGAAAGACTGGAAGTGCCTCTTGGATAGAGATTGTACGCTTAACTATTGTTCAAGTTCCTAATTATTAATCAGACATTCAAGATGATATATTCTCTCTTGTATCTCAAACTTTCAATCTCTGTCCTTCGTGTGTACTCAAATATATTTTACCTCTTTTACTACATATCGTCTTTCTCTTGTTTATGTTCTGTTGTTCATCTTAAAAGCAAAGATTTATTTGGGATGTGCGGAGAAATGTGAAAAGTCTATTTTGTAGTCAAAAGCCAAAAAAGGTCACTGTGGATGCTTAAGCATAATTAATCTTGAAATTAAAATTAGGGGTTGCATTCTTAGTTTGCTATAGGGTTGATGATTGTTTTTTTCCCATCAAATAGGTAAAGAATTTATAATTAACTAATGGACACAATACCAAGTTCCTCTCTGTTAAACCTCTTCTAATCTGTAGTCTAGGCATCTGCATTTCATGGAAAGGTTGAAAAGTAGAAAAAGTAAACCTTTGGTGCTTGATCTTAAACTAAAGTCTAATCTGTTCTTCCAAAGACAAAGCTGTGTCTCTATGAAAGTCTAATTCGAGATGGACCACCGAGGAAATTTGTATGTTTGTCCTTTTAAGCTCTTACTTTTATCAAAAGCAAGTTAGACCTATATCACCACACCTCAGGCCAAACCATTTTCATTTGTTCTATTTTATGAATAATTGCCATTTGATGTTTCAATTATTGTTGGTGAATTATATGGGTTTTTTCTTTCTTTCCAGGATGAAAAGTTTTTGATTTGGTAATCTGGTGAGAAGGAAAACCAACTGAGGTTAACTTCAATCACAAATGTCATCCGCAGCCAAAGTACTGTAAGCAGTGAGGCTACCTTTCATATTAATATACATGACATTTTCTCAAGATATATTCTTAAACCGTGAAATTTCCTTTTGTGTGACGAGTGTTTTGTTTTCTAATTAAGGTAAATTCGTCAGCCTGAAATGGGAAGTCAGTGCATATCACTTTTATATGGAAATGGCGAGCGTACTCTTGATCTGGTAAATTGTCCATTCCTCCTAGTTTAATTGGGGGATGTTTTATAAAGTACAAACCTGCGTGATTTGAATTTCTGTTTGTCATTTTATTAAAATTTGTTGTTTCTTTTCTTTTTATATTTCATTTTCAGACTTGCAAGGACAAAATGCAGGCTGAGACTTGGTTTGTAGGCTTGAGAGCTATAATATCCAGGACTCACCATCACAAAATTGTGGATCCCCTGAAAAGCAATAGACGTGCACACAGTTCCATCAGTAGTCGAGCGGGTTATACGCGGAGGAAACAGAATCTTGGACTTTCAGCAAAGACAATCAGACCTTCTCAGGTTCTTCACATCTGTCTTTGTTTTATTAAGTTCTCAATGCTTAACCTTGGATTTACTGATTAAGTAACTGCTATTATTCCCTGTATGCAATCTTCTTTCATCTTCAGAATGTCCTTCAATTCTGTTGGTTCCTGACAGTATGAATTTACTCCAAAAGCTTCTGTTTCCAGTACACAATCTAGTACTTGTTTGTGGAGCGGTGAGTTTGGCGCTGAATTTGTAACAAGTCTGTTCGAAAACCTGTGAAGGACAAACAGAAAAGTTAAAAATTACTGGCGATAATAAATGGCTGAAATAACTAGAGAGAAAAAAAGGATTGCTTATAGATAATTGTCAATGTTTATTCTATAGCTTTATCGGGAATTGTAGTCTTAACTGATAATGTAAAAACTTTCATAATCCTTATCAGATCTTTAGTCGTGCTTCTCCGTAATGTGGCTTGATGTCATACTCTACATTGTGTTCAAATGTTGCTGTTGGTTAGTGAACCTGTACTTTGATATCAATTACTTTTCTTTTGTGAGTTCAACTCTAAAAAGGAAACTTGCATTTTGACAATTGTGAGATGGGAAGAAAATACCTAAGATGGGTTCCAATATAGGATATCATAATTCATCTACTGCATAATGGAATGCTTAGATATGCTACTTCGTACAGATGGATGGACATTGACAAGGCATTTTTCTGTATGTATGCCTTTCACATGTATGATTTTTCCATAGGCTCTGCATCTTTTGTGGCATAACATGAACATTAAGGGGTCGTTTGGTGTGAAGGATAATACCAAATAGTCCTGGAATTAAATTATTGTACCACTTTAATTTGTTGTTTGGTTGACAAGTTCAGAATAACTTATCCCGGGATTAATAATTAGTACCGAGATAAGTTATCCCTCCCCTTGGGTGGTATAGTAATCCCGGGATAACTTATCCCGGGATAAAATAGGTAAATGACAAAAATGTCTCTTTCAACCCTTTTGTTACATCATTTTTTACATTCATGAAGGGAATTTTTGTAAACAAATAAATTGTTCTTAAAATTTATTATTTTGAATACAACAAACCAAACACTCAATAAAAAATAATCCCATCATAACTTGAATTCAAACCAAACAACCCCCAAGTGCGTTGGCATTCTACTATATGAACTTTAGATAAGCAGAAGATTGCTTCTCTTCTCAAGCTAATTAGGTGGAAATATGCTGTTTCTCTTTTCATATAATGTTTGATTGGTCTTAAGTTCTAATTAGGTTCCTCAAGAGTCAAGATTCTGACTACTGTGCATATATACTGTAGGTTGAAAGTCTTGAAAGATTATGTGAAACAAGAAAGGAGAAAATTCAAGAGTCAACAAAAGTTGAAGAAGCCTGGTCAGTGGCTAAAGAGGAAGCTTCCAAGGGTAAAGCAGCAAAAGAAGTAGTAAAAGCTTTGACATCTAGGGTAACTACTCTGTGAGTTAATTCTTTTCCGTCTCCTTCTATAAAACAATTTGATCCATAATGTGCATCAATTTATTACTCCATGGCACAAACTTTCTAAAGAAACTATTATATGAATCTGTCCGTAATTCATTGGTGGGCCTGCACAAATGCTGTTCTCGAAGCAAAGGCCAATACACAATTACCTTTTCCAACTATAAATAATTAATATGGCCTTTGCTTGCTACAAAGTATATAGCCACGTAAATTTTCTAAAAATGCCAATGCTGCATCACCACCTTTTTTGAACACCTGAACTCTTGACTCAAAATCTTGAGAGTTGAGCCACATAAATCAACCCTAAAGCTAAAGCAGGCCTTTTAGGATGAGGTTGATGCTTTTGTATGCCTTGATCAGAGCTTGGTCTGGGATCGGGAAGTTTCCTTCTTATATAAAAAAGACGAGTAGAAGGGCTCATCCCAAAAGTTTTTCCTAGAAGTGAAAGGGGAAGGGACATTGGTACTCATGCAGGGTCGGGTTAAATGAGTTCCGTGGGTAAGTAATTCGGTGCAAGCTCCAGCTGATGCCATTGATGTAAAAAAGACATCTGTTTTAGATTGAGCTAAATGTTGAATCATAAGTAGGAGACCAAAAAGTTTCGACTTATTGCCACACATTTATTTCTATTATGTTCTAA